GCTCCTTAAATCATATAATTTCTATGGCATTCTGTACTGTCAGTATGTTACATGTACCGTATGCCAATTGGTTACAGGTGGCAGCTTTCTATTGCAGCCTGTAGGCTTGCCTAGATAAATGGATGAGTGCTTACCTATTCTGTCTTGCAAATAGTTGTTGCTACTTCGTACGATGGGAGCTTCCATCTTTAATCTGAAGACACTTAAACGTGCACGCCATCTCGTGGCAACTTTCATAACGATCCCAACGAACATTCCTTTGAGAAGGTTCCTGATACCATCCCTGTGCATTCCACTGTTTCGGCGTGTATGTGAAAACATTTGGGACCAACTAACTCCCACCACTCCACCACAGAGTCACCGCAGTAGACGTTAGATGAGCGCTGTCGCTCCGCGGCACTTGTTTTAGTCTATTCTTTTCAAGTAACAGACATGCAGTTTCTAGTGCTCTATCGCGTTTGTAGCCATTCTGAAGATACATTCTATGAGCTATATCAATGCCACACAAAGCATTGCATTTTCGATTACCAATGAAAATGTTTGGAGAGCCTTCAAAATGCTAGCTTATTTAGTAATGGATTATATATATTGGAGAAGATGATAATTCATGGGTAGTGCCTAGTTAAGATTGTAATAAAGTTGCAAATGAAGTTGTTGTGTGTTGTAATATATATAATTATATGTGATATGATAAACTAATTAGATTTTAAATGTAATGCAGACCAGACCTGTCAAATCAGTTGTTGCCGAAATCCTGCTAGTAATTTTTTAACCAGTGAATGATACTTGGTAAAATATTCTATGAATATTTATTAGACCTTGGCTAGCAACTCATTGGTCGATATTTGTAGCAACTAATTAGACAAAGGTGGCAAATATTAGTGTGTCACTATCACATCATGAAGGCCAGTTATCTATAATGGGTAATACCTGCAGAGCAACAAGGTAACAACTATTTCAGTATTAAGAGCAAGGTAAATATAACAATTTGACATCTACAAAAGCATTTTATATGTTACAACATAATTATACAACTATAGTGCATACAACTTGTGTGTACATACAACATCATTTTTGTGTACATGTATGTAAATTGTAATAGACTTTAATTATGTCATTTCTACTGCATGTCATGTTTAATGACTTACATTTATGTGACCTAACAGAATTGTTTATGGACAATCTGCACTGAAGATGCCAGGACTTACAAGGTATTTGTATAAATAGCCCTCCCCCCCCCAAAAAAAATCCAGCTATGTGTACAGTCTAGGTCACAAAACTGATATTCCTGGTTTATCCTGGGGTATGAATACGATGCCAGTTATCATAGGTGTAGATGACTGTTAGTTGCATTACCACGAGGATTATTATGGAAAGGATCACTTTGTAATTCTAAAGAGATATTCATTATAATTGTAGAATGGCATTTTGTGACCTGTGCTTAAACATGTATATATCACTGGTGGTGGCATTAAATCTAATAGTGGGTTAGAGGTGTAATAGTAGTTGCATATTACCAAGAGCTAATAATACCTAGAGTGTACAACGGAAAAACGGGAAAATAGTGCTATTTCACGACAACATTATTCTACTTTGCCTGCGAGTCTATAATAATTTCATGGTATTGCATTAAGCAGAATTCTTTGCTCTCTAAAACAAGACCAACCG